GACTGCTGCACTCGCGTCTCACACAAGAGATGTAGCCATGCAAAGTTAAAGCAGTTTAAACTTTTAGAAAACACGTCACAAACTTGTGGAGGTTTATTCCTTTTCACTGCATCTCATATGTTTTTAAATGCAATCTCCGTGATGGGCGATTCAGCTCTTTGCATTAAGCAATGCACATGATGCGGTTTTGTTCATAATTGTTTATGCAATTTACGAAATTATATTTAGATTTTTTATAATTTTTTTTATTTTTTATAACCTTTTTTAAAACAAAGAGCAATAGAAAAAAAATGTTTAAATTTAACCACTTGTATTTTTAAATATTTTCTGAAAAAATTGCATTGTTTCGGTTTTCACCTAATCAAGATCTTCTCCGCATTGAGCTTCTATATTTCTCTAATATTTTGAATGAATAACGCAGCAGCGGCGCGTCTCGTGGGTTAGACTAACAAAACATTAAAATGTAAATGTTAAAAAACCTACTCATCTGATTTTAACTGAAATTGACTTAGATCATCTTCAGACCATGCTGGCAAAAAGTTATTAAAAGCTTTTTGATAAACCAAACGATATGAAACATTATATCGCTGATAATGTTTTTAGCTATATCGCCCAGCCCTAGGCTAAGATCATCTTCCAACCATGCCGGCAGAAATCGGCTCCAATATGGGATGAGTATCTTTTGACCTTCTTTTTTAAAATTTAAACGTAGCAACATGTGATTTATTTTTGGCTCATGACCCACCAGCTGAGAACCACTGATCTTAAGACGTATGGAAGAAAAGCAGTACAGATCACTGATAAATGCAACAACATATAATCGTTTAGATGCTTCATTTGAGATCGTAAAGACGGAGACGGTAAACAAACAGCGATAAAGCAGAGTAAGGTGATTAGTAATACTCTGGGAGGACGCACACACTCTCTGGAATTCGCCCACCACTTAACACACTGAATATGAAACGCTGCCGTCATGCAATTAGACAGATTGATTCGACTTCCGTAAGGCTTCAAGTTTAACGTAACCAAAAAAGATGAACGGAAACAATCAAGAATCCTCTTGGGAGACTACAGTTAGCAGTGTCTCACTCAATCATGATGTGGTCCCTTGTTGAGTTTTTCTTTTCGATAAATGAGCCGATAACAGCGGCGGTAGCTGTTGACCGTGGCTACCGTTGGCCAGCCAAAGCAGAGGTCTTCTCTAGTACCCTGCGCTTCAATGGCAGTGTTCTAGCCGTTAAACTGGAACAGGAATCTTATATTTAGCGAGACCAGGTCTCCGTGTACTCATCTCAACACTGCGGAGAAATTTTGGAAGCGCCCTGCTTCCCAAAGTGCGGATACAGACAGTCAAAACGATTACGTGAAAAGCTGAGGCTTAGGAGTGCATTACGGTCACATGCCATCACAAACCCCTCCACAGAGAGGTACACACGCAAGGCAAAGACTAACACGCAGATTCAAACACTTGAACAGGGATGCAATGTCTCAGAACACGTAATGACAGGATGTTCCATGGATCAAGTCATATAGTCCAACATTCGACGAGCATATACTTGCATAAACTGGTGCTACAAACATTTGCCTTGCTAATAACTGGGTGTGATGTCTGAGAACGAGGATGACGAGACAGCTTCATCGATTA